TTAGTGTGTAAAGTCAGGGGTAAGGGTGTGTATGTCAGGATTAGGGTGTGTGTTAGGGTTCATGTGTACAGTCAGGGTGGGGGGGTGTATGTCAGGGTTAGGGTGTGTGTGTTAGGGTTCATGTTTACAGTCAGGGTTGGGATGTGTGTATCAGAGTTAGGGTGTGTATGTTAGGGTTCATGTGTTCATGTGTTAGGGTGTGTGTGTCAGGGTTAGGGTGTGTGTGTTATGTTAGTATGTGCAGTTAGGGTTGGGGGATGTGTTACGGTTAATGTGTATAGTCAGGGTAGGGTGTGTGTGTTAGGGTTCATGTGTTCATGTGTTAGGGTTTGTGTGTCAGGGTTAGGGTGTGTGTGTTGTGTTAGTGTGTGCAGTCAGGGTTGGGGTGTGTTACGGTTAATGTGTACAGTCAGGGTAGGGTGTGTGTGTTAGGGTTCATGTGTACAGTCGGGTATGGGTGTGTGTGTCAGGGTTAGGGGGTGTGTGTTAGTATGTGCAGTCGGGGTTGGGGTGTGTCAGGGTTAGGGGGTGTGTCTTAGGGTTAATGCACGCAGTCATAGTGGGGAGTGTGTAGTCAAGGTTAGGGTGTGCTCTTGTGTAGTGTCAGGATTAAGATGTGGGGCGTGTGAGAGGTGTGAGGGTTAGGATGTGTGGTGTATGGGTGGTAAGGGTGTGTGGGGTGTGTGTTTGTGTGTGTACACTCTTGTACTGGAGCATGTTGGTGTCAGCCAGCTCAGCAGTCACGGCCTGACAGAATCGCTGTCTGGTCCCAGCTTCTCTGCAGGGCCTCATGCACACATGGGCCTTTCGGCGCACAGCAGACGAGCCTGCTCTTTGAGTGTCCCCACCAGCTGCCTGCGGGGAGAGGGGGGGCGCCCCAGCCTTGGCCTGCTCACCGCTCCGCAGGTAGGGAGGTGTTCAGTGGCGTGCTCGTTTTGTCTCACAGAAAATCGGCAACTTCTCCATCGTGCGGCGGCTGGGCATTCAGGAGTGCATCCTGCTGATCACGCAGCGCATCACCAAGTACCCCGTGCTGGTGGAGCGCATCATCCAGAACACGGAAGGTGTGTGCGTATGTGTGCGTCTGCACATTGCCGCTCAGCCCCTCTGCCACTGCCCTGCCTCCAAGCGCAGCCGGGCCCAGGGCTTGTTCGAGAGCTCCTCCCCCGTGCGCTGCTGGGCCCCTGGCTGTGAGTCAGGACCGCAGAGGCCGTCAGCTCTGGGTTACCCACCCGCGGCCCCGATGGCACCGTTAGGCACTTGGCTGCAAACCCAATGATGGGCGGTTCAGACCCACCTAGCCCCTCCCCAGAGGGAAGACTGGTGGTCTGCTCCCATCAGAACTCAGGTGGGACGGGAGAGGGTACCGCTCTGTCACATGTTGATCCTGTGCGTCACAAACCGGCTGCATGCTCCCAGCCACAGCCTCCCATGGCCAAGAGCCTGCTGCAGCAGACCAAGCAGGCTCTCCCCATCAGTGAAGCAGCTGAACGTTCAGATAGGCCACTCCCGGGAAATCAGTCCAGCCAGGCACAGAGGTGACTTCAGGGCCCCCAGTGGATGCAGGGCTGGGCTGCACTCAGCCGAGGGCAGAGAGAGGACCAGGGGAAGGCTGACCACACCTCCCACAGCCCCAAGGGGATTGTGGGATGCGCAGGATCCTAGCCACAGATGCCCTCTTCTTTTGCAGGAAGCACCGCAGGCCGAGATGGGCTGCGGGCAGGGCTGCAGGGTACCAGGAGAATGTGCTTCCCAAGGGGTGGCCTCCAGGCCATCAGGGGTGGCATTTGTCCCAAGGCTTGGGTCCGAGCTGTGCGTGACACGGAAGCTCCGCCCTGACATTGGCTGTTTGCTTCCATCTTGGTGCCTCAGAGCACATCACTAGGGGGCACATCCCTAGGGGACATACCCCACTGACCCTGTGAGTGCGTGGCCCCTTCTGTTGTGTCCATTGACTTGGATGGAGGAAGGCGCTCGCTCATTCAGTGTGTGTGTGTGTGTGTGTGTGTGTGTGTGTCAGCTGGCACCGAGGACTACGACGACCTGACCCAGGCCCTGAACCTCATCAAAGACATCATCTCACAAGTGGACGCCAAGGTCAGCGAGTACGAGAAGGGCCAGCGGCTGCGGGAGATCGCCGGGAAGATGGACCTGAAGTCCTCCGGCAAGCTCAAGAATGGGCTGACCTTCCGCAAGGAGGACATGCTGCGGCGGCAGCTCCAGCTGGAGGGCCCACTGTGCTGGAAGGCCACGTCTGGCCGCCTGAAAGGTACAGCCCCACCGCCCTGCACTGCTAGCAGGGGACACCTCGGGCCATCAGGCGGCATTCTGGATCAGCAGGGGACACCTGGGGTCAGTAGGGACTCTCTTGAGTAGGTGAGCACCAGCCAGGATGGGGGTGGGGGGAGGTGGGGCATTTTGGAAGAGTCACCTAGGGTCATCATGTACGACCTTGGGTTGGTAGGCACTACCTCGAATTAGTGCCTCATCTTGGACGGGGCACCAGACCATCTTGGGTGGGTGACTGGCATCTTGAATCAGTAGGCATCTCTTGGACCAAAGGATTGCATCTCGGGTTGGTCAGCACTGTCCTGGACTAGTGGCCTCTTGCATTGGCACCTCGGGTGGGGGTGGACACCATCATGGATCAGAGGATGCCGTCTTGGATGGGGACCCAGGGCCCCTGCCGCCTGACTGCTACTTGGCCTCAGGGAACGTGCAGGAAGGTGGTCATGTTTGTGCCCTGAGCCTGTGGGCATTGGGACAGGGTCATCCGAGCCAGGAACACCGTGGGGCACACAGAGATGTTGATTTCCAAAGAAAAGCCCAAGCCATTAGCACCCCAGACTTAGCGCACACCCTGAGGTCCCAACCAAGCAGGCTGCAGGCTCCACACTGTCATAGGCCCTTTGTTGGGCCACAGAAGCCCACTCCCTGGAATGGCCCCATGTGGGAGGGAGGAAACATGGCCAGGTCTGACAGGCTGGGTGTCCCCAAGCTTCCCCCGAACCCTTCTGTGCTCCCCCACAGTGTAGCTCCAGGGCCCAAATCCTTCTGTGCTCCCCCACAATACAGCTCCAGGGCCCTGAACCCCTCTTTACCCCCCCACAGTACAGTTCCAGGGCACCGGACCCCTCTCTGCTCCCCACAATACAGCTCCAGGGCCCTGAACCCCTCTCTGCTCCCCCACAATACAGCTCCAGGGCCCCAAACCCCTCTCTGCTCCCCCACAGGGCAGCAGGAGCTGCTTTCTGCCCACAAGGGCTGAGGTCTTCTCACAGGGCCCACGAGGAGGGGGAAGGTCACCTGAGAGCAGGGAGACAGGGGCATCAGTCACACCTGAGCAACACAGAGAGACTAGATCCAGGGGCTTCAGTCGGACCGAGGGGGCAGTCCACAGACAGGGGCTAGGGGCCTGAGCTTGAGACTCTGAAGGGGCCTGGCAGACGGTGGGAGGGTCAAGGCCAGCCTGTGGCCAGAAGGATGCCTCATGGCGTAGCCAGTGTCCAGGGCACCCCCTCCTGACCCCCGTCCCCCCTACGGCCCTCCCTCTCCGCAGACATTCTTGCTGTCCTGCTGACCGACGTGCTCTTGCTGCTGCAGGAAAAAGACCAGCGCTATGTCTTCGCGTCCGTGGTAAGTCTGTCCCTTGGCGTCCCCAGGCAGCCAGAGGGCATGGGGGACAGAGGGCCCTGCCTGACAGGCAGCGGGGCAGGCCGGCTCCTTTCCTGGCATCCTCTCCCACTCAGATTCTCCGTGGCTCCCAGCCACTGCTCCTCCTGCCAAGGGGGCGCCTGGCTCCGTGGCTCCAGCCCTGTGCTAGGCGGGCGTCTAGAGGAACAAATTCCCTGACCCTCGTGAATGTATAGGACAGAGCTGGACATCAAGAAGTACTTGTGTATCGTGAAGGTGTCCCAGCCCAGTCCAACTCATGTCCACAAGCCTGATGCTAGTCCATAAATCCCACCTCAGAGGCCTAGCTGCAGGCCAGTGGTGCAGAAAGGGGAGACCAGGAAGCAGGAAGGTCTTGGGCTGGTGGGTGCAGAATTGTGCGGATCCAAGGTCTTTAGGAACATGGCCCGGTACTGGGGCACGTGGGGCCCTCCCTCGAGCAGGCAGGAAGGCAAAGGGGCAGAGAGATGATCACTTGCACCCGCCCACCCCCAGACTCCTGGCTCCCCTGCCATGTGGTGGGCGGATACAAGTGACCCTGGGCCCCCCACCACCACCCCCCCATTTGCCTGTGCAGGACTCAAAGCCGCCCATCGTGTCTCTGCATAAGCTCATCGTGCGGGAAGTGGCCAACGAGGAGAAGGCCATGTTCCTCATCAGCGCCTCCCTGAAAGGGCCTGAGATGTACGAGATCCACACCGGCAGCAAGGAGGAGCGCAACACCTGGATGGCCCACATCCGCAGGGCCGTGGAGAGGTGGGGCAGGGGTGCCCTGGGTACCCGCATCCTCGGGGCTTTGGAAAGATGTGGCAGGGCTGAGGCAGGCGGGGACTGCGCCTTCCGCTCTGACCATGTCTGGGGTGGCCCACATCCAGGGGCCATGGAGAAGTAGGGGGAAGGGGCTCCTCCCTTTCCAACCATGTCCCGAGTGGCCCGCTGACCCGCCGTGACTGTTGCCAGCCTGATGAGTGCTCCTCGCCCTGCCCTTTGTGCCCAGAGCCACCTTTCCAGCTCTCTCCTCCCAGCAGCCCTGTTCTGCCTGCACAGATTCTCCACCCTCCCAACGCTGAAGGGCTGCCTCCCCCCAGCCCTCCATCCTCTGATTACCTTGCCCCGCCCACCCTCCCCTCGCTGGGTCCTGGCCATGTGGCCAACATGCGGGGCAACTGGTCTGGTCCCTCTGCATGTGGACACTGGGGGCCTCCTGAGGTTTTAGCCTGCTCCAGGCCCCCTAGCATCCTTCCCTTGGTCAGCTGGCTGGGGCTGGCGGCTCTCCTGCCTGGCAGGGCCTTCTCAAACGGGCAGTCCATCAGTTAACTAGGTGATTGGTCTGTCAGTATTGGCCTGTTGGTCCGGCAGCCCAATGGTCCATCAGCCCATCAACTGATTGGTTTATCAGCCAGTTGATCCATTAATCCATTGACTCCTGTCCATGAATCAATTTGGTGCTTTAGTTTTATCCGTCCATTGATCTATTGGTCAGTTAGTCCATGGACATACTGGTCTATCAGCCCACTAGCTCATCAGGCTCCTCTTCCAAGTTGAGGCCAAGCACCGTGACAGCCCAGTCGGTTGTGTCCTGCCACCTTCAGTACCTGCTGCTGCCCCTGAGGGCTGGGCAGTGCTGCTGGGTGTCTCCACCCTCCTCCTCGTTTCCCCTGCCCTACGAACCCGCAGCGCCTCAGAAGAAAGACGGGGCTTTCTTCTCCCATAAAGTTACAGTCTTGGGAACCCACAGGGGCAGCTCTGCCCTGTCCCATGGGGTCACTGTGAGTGCAATGAGTTTAATTGTGGGTTTTATGAACAAGCTGTGGGGTGCCCTGGTGGGTGACAGCACTGCCCTGCTAACCACAACACCGGGGGTTCAAACCCACCAGCCATCCAGCGGGAGAAAGAGGAGGCTATCTGCCCCCAATGAGTTACAGTCTCAGAAATCCAAAGGGGCAGGTCTGCTGTGTCCATAGTGTCTCCCTGTCAGAAGAGACTCGATGGCTGTGACTTTGCATTTTCATTAACAAGCTAACGACTCACCAAATCCAGGATGCTCCCCACGTCCGGCTGTGCGGATAAGCCTCCGCCATCAGTCCTGAGAGGCCAGGCAGCCTGTGAGGCGCCCCCCTCACCCCTCTCGCCCCTTCCCCGCAGTTGTTCGGATGAGGAGGAGGGGCCCTTCAGCGAGGCTGAAGAGGAAAGGAAGATGGTTGAAGCCCGGGCCCTGCGGCTGAAAGAATTCCAAGGTAACCCAGGCCCGTGGGGGCCACCTGGGGGGACCCACCCTTAGGCCACCTCTGCAAGATGAAGAGGGTGGGGACAGGTCCGTCCTGGGGTGGGCTGGCCCCCTCCCCACCCCCCTTCCCCCCAGCATAAAAC